GTGGATTGAATGAACAATTATTTTACCAAATTATTATCCCAGCAAAGCGATCCACAATTCGACTAACAACCAGATTCCTACTTACTGCTAGGTAAACAGGTGTGTGGAGTAAGGAAACTTGCCTAGGGTTTCGCCCTGCCCGGGAATCGAACCAAGGTCCTCTCGCTTGCGAGGCGAGCTCACTAACTACTACGCTATGGGGCCCATTAATGTAATGTCAGAAACAAAATTTCCCAATCCCCTTCCACCCCCAATACGACCATTTCAAAATTGCTATAAAAGCGATTTCTCAATAACAGAGCAGCGGTACAAGATGTGCCGATAGCTTGGCTTGCAAGCAATTTATTCAAAGTTACCTTTATCATAAGAACAAAATTATATTTCTCCCACTTTAATTCATACAATTCAACACTTAACATAAATCAAAGCCCTTTAAGTTCATGAACGCTCACCTTGATTGCATTTGCAAACATTAACAGTCATCAAAATTAATGAGCTGCATTGCTTTGACAGGGCACCTTCAACAAGGCTGTATGTGTGAGAGCAGGGCGTTTTATATTCCCATTCATTAAGCTTCTGACATTCCTGAGACTTTGTTTAGCAAAAATACATTCCTTAGAGTCGAGAATAATAATAATAATAATCCTTGCATGGATATTACGCTTTATCATGTCGTTGACCGTGCCTTCAGCTCCCCTCTCGACTCTCTTCCCCCTCCTCGCTCCCTCCCTTCCCTCCCCTCACCCTGACCATTTCCCCCCTCCTTGCTCCCTCCCTTCCCTCCCCTCACCCTGACCATTTCCCCCCTCCTCGCTCCCTCCCTTCCCTCCCCTCACCCTGACCATTTCCCCCTCCTCGCTCCCTCCCTTCCCTCCCCTCACCCTGACCATTTCCCCCCTGCTCGGGTCATGACCCAACTGTGCAGCGCCTTGGGACGTCCTCCTGACGTGAAAGGCGCTTTATAAATGGAATCTTGTTGTTGTTGTTGAGATGTCTCAAAGCGCTTCACAGAATGTACGGTTAAGTGAATTGACTGTATATTTTGTGGGAGAAACGCGGCAGCCAATTGTGCACAGCAGTGTCCCACAAACAGTCGTGGATTGAGTGACCAAATTTTGCTTTGTTTTTTGGGGGGAATTATTACCCCAGAAAAGCGATCTGCCAATCAACTAATAACTGGGTTCTTACTCACTTTTAGGTAAACAGCGACGTGTGAAGTAAGGAAACATGCCTAAGGTTTTGTCCCACCCAGGAATCAAACCCAGGTCCTGTCACTTGCGAGGCAAGTAATTTAATCAATATGCTACAGGACTCCACAGGAGAAGAGGCTTCGACCAAAATTTACCTAAACAAGAGAAATATAGCAACATCAGATAAGAAGCAAGAGAGATGACACAAATTTACAGCAAGTTAAACAATTTTAATAACAAGAGAGGATGTGTAGAAGCTCTTTATTAATGCAAGATTTCTTTCATCTCCTTGTGCATGTATTTAGCATCACAACCTGCAAGGATTGCTTTGAATTCTGCTTATAAAAAATGGACAGTGCCAGGTTCCTCGGTGGAATACGAATTGGAGTCTTTGAAGTGCAGTTGTAAAATGATAAGATTTCAGGTCTGATTAACAGCCACAATGATGTTTGACCCACAAAAAAACATTTGGTCAATAAACATGGCCCAGAGTGTTTTAATGAATTATACAGTACACAGTCACTACACTTTACAGTAAAACCCTGTGAAGTGATTTATTATTCACTTATACAATACACAGTCACTACACTTTACAGTCAAGTCCTGTGAAGAAGTGCTCTGAGATGTCTTGTCAACACAGTGAAACGATGTATCAAATACAAGATTATTATTAATCCTGAGCTCTATACCAATTTCTCTCTGTGGTCAACGATAATAATATTAATCTATCTTACTTTTAATATTCAGCCTATAATGTTTAGAACGTCTCGAAGAGCTTCACAAACCTTCTGTAAGATTCAGTCGATCGATTCAGTAGGTGAACCCAGCAGGCAATTTGCACGCAGCAGTGGCCCACACAGAACCAATGAACCAATTTTATCTGGGGAATTGTTGGCCAGGACACTTGGCAATACTTACAGTGCCATTTACCATCCTTTCACCAAACTCCTGTACCAACCTCCCACTCAAGCCATTTGCTAAATGAGTCCAAATTCTTGGTTTTACCTTCCTAGTCTTGCTTGGTTACCCTCCTAGGTATGGCAAGCTATGCCGTTTTAGCTGGTTAGACTCCAGCAGTTACCCCAATGCACACTCTGGGGTCCCCAACCCTTGGTTCTTGCCAACCTGCGCCTAATACTTTCCAGCATTAGGTAAATAGGATGCTTTGCTCCAGGGATAGAGTACACATTCCATTCCAACAATCTACCTCTCAGATTTCCACGTGTAGGTGGGTTGTATTGAATTCTCAGCTTGTTTTGGATACTCTTAAGCACGGTTATTGGTTTCTGCAGGTGTCAGACACCTGGCTGTCCCTCCAAAAATTAGCTCTTACAGTATAAAATGACCCACTGGGTAATTAATTCCTTCCTGGTGTCAGTCTTTAAACTGCCCTTCCTAGCCTTGCCTCTATGCCCTGCTGTCAAACTGCTTTGGTGTATCTGAAAGTACTGTTTTTGGTTCACCTTCTCAGTTCCCATTTATGATTTTCTCTCCACCTCTATATGGTTCTCCTCTGAGACGTCTCTTTTCAAGGCTGAAGAGCCCCATCTTATCTCGTCACTCCTCTTAGCTTATCCTTCTAACACTGGGGATCATCCTTGTTGATCTGCTCTGAACTGCCTCGAGGGTCCTGGCTCCCCCCTTGTCTCATAGCAACCAGAACAGTGCACAGTGCCCCAGATGCCATCTGACAACTGCTTGAACAGAACGTATGGTGATCTGAACTCAACAATTAAAACAACAACAAATTACATTTACACAGCGGCTTTCATGTCGGGAGGATGTCTCAATGCGCTAGACGGTTAGTGATTTGGACCCAAACTGGAGGTTGGGATCATGGGGGGTTTGGGGAGCAGGGAAGGTAAGGGTAGGAGGCTGACCGAAGGTGCAATCGAAGAGGAGAGTCTTGAGACGGGCCTTGAAGGAGGCAAGGGAGAGGGCGAGGCGAAGGGACTGTGGGATGGAGTTTCAAAGGTTGGACAGAGAGGCTGAAGGCCTAAACAATGATGGTGGGGTGGGCCAGGCGGGGGAGGTGGAGCAGGTTGGAGCCTGCAGAGTTGTCTGTTGGCACTTTCAAAGAGATAACAACTTGTATGTATATAGTGTCCCCTCATGCAGAGGAGTGTCCCAGAGCGTTGACAGTAGCTGAGCATGATGCCGAGCAGTGGGTTGGTGGAGTAAGCAGGTCGGAGAGGTAGGGAGGTGCCAAGGCATGAAGGGATTTGAAGACAAGTGTGAGGGTCATGAAATCAATCAGTTCTATGATAGGGAGCCGGTGGAGCCTGGCCACAACTAGCGTGATATATATATGTGTGTGTGTGTGTATACATATGCAAACTTGGAGATATTTTCTGTGCTTAACAGGATCAACTTCAATCACAGTACATGAACAGAAGCCAACTCACAAGTTGACAAGAGAGGTTCAGATCAAGAAGACCCTGCGGCCTATTTGATCTCATCTTCCAGAGCACCCACCTTACCATCCTCCCATTACAGCCGTTTCTTAAGTGAATCCTAGCGTTCCTGCCTCAACCACCCATCTTGGTGACCTTGTTCCAATCATTAATTACCCTCCGGGCAAAGAAATACTTCCTGGTGTCTATCCTGAAATTGCCCCCTTTGCAACCCTGAACCTGTGCCCTCTCATTCTGTTGTCTTGGGCTGCACAAACCCATTCATGTGAACCTGAGATCAGAGGAGAGGTGGGGCAGGGGTGGAGAGACAATCAATTACATTGATTCACTGGCTGATGAACTTCTTGCCTATCACAAATATTTATTTGCGGAGCACGAGACAATAATGGTTAAATATTGAGATTAAATATTCATACAGTCAGATTTATTTTGACATGAAAATTATACGCGGTCATAAAACTGTCCACAAGCATCAACGATAAATCGAAATAAAGTTATGGATGGATACATAGTATTGTATAATAATTGCATCTGATACAGCGCCTTTCACGTCAGGAGGACGTCTCAAAGCGCAGGAAAGTAAGCCCTGGTGACTATGTTTTACAGATGCATCTTGCTGTTGATTTAAACTCCGTTTACGTTCCATTCTGTCCTTCGGATGAGACATCAAACTGAGGTCCACTCTGTGCCTGTTCAGTTGGATGTTAACATTCCCATGGCACTATTTGAAAACAGCGAGGAGTTTCTCCTGGTGTCCAGACTGACATTCCTTACCCTACAGCGGCCCCCTCTTCCCCAAAAAATAAAAAATGGTCGTTCACTTCATGGTTGTTTGTGGGAATACTTCTGTGCCCAAATTGGCAGCCGCATTCACCTACAAAATGCGCAGTCACTACACATTACAGTAAATCCTGGGAAGGACTTTGAGAAAGCCTCCTGACGTGAAAAGTGCTGTAACAAATGTAGGGATTGTTATTATTATTAAGTTGAAACTGAACCACGTACACTGCTGTGCACAATTGGCTGCTGCGTTTCGCCCACCAAATAAAGTCAATCCATTTTACAATATATTCTGTGCAGCATTTGAGACGTCTCAATGAAGTGACAAGGTGCTGTATATCAAATGCAAGGATTTTTAGTTATTATAACTCCTTTACTAAATATCAGAGGTACTATTTTTGCACTTGTTAATATCAGAGAAGGCGTCACATTTTTGTCAATTTGGGATTTAATGTAATACAAATGAGGCTGGACCACATTATGTTGAATGATTTCCTGGGTTACTTAAGTTATAAAGTAGAACAGAATTAATATCCTTGTTCGCTGTCATGATCCCCGAGGTACCAACACATTTTAAGGGTTCAAATGTACAGGAAGAGTGTTCTTGAGTCATCATCAGTTGCTGTGCGGTTAGCCTTTGTTTTCCACAGAGCTACGCCATTCACCTCATCCAAGGTCACGCAATGAGATTAAGCAGAGCACAGTGTATCCGTGTACGTCAGGCTCTGTAATGGAATATTGACCGAGTCAATGCCACTGTTGGCATCTCAAACCATGCAGCAATTTCTTATTTAATTAAATAATTCTCCCCCCCGCCCTCCACCCTCCCCACCCTCACTCCCCTTCCCCCCCTTTTTTCTATCCCGAGGTCAAATAATATAATTAAAGCTTCCATTACATTCGCAACGTCTTAGTTGAATCTCATCACCGCAGTGCTTTGCACTAACTGTTAAACGCAAAGCCACATTGATGACCTTTCTTTACAGAATTTGCAGTTGGCGTCAATAAACTGATTTTCCTCCTGGCTCCTGCGCTCCGTACACTGCAGCAGGAGAGTGTCCAGCAGTTTCCCTCCGCATCATCCGAGAACCAGTCAGAAGGAGCTGGTGTCATCAACCAGGGAGGAGGAGGAGGGCGGAGAAGGGAACGGGGAAACAGTGAACGCAGAAGGTTGCCAGTATAAAACAAGGTGATTCAGACTTAGCTGGTGATCGCACTGTCCACCCTGGTAAGGCAGTGAGTGATCAGGCGAGGCAGTGACCAAGGAACTGATGCAACAACAACAACAATTTGATTTACACAATGCCTTTCACGTCAGGAGGATGTCCCAAGGCGCTGGACAGTCAAGGATTTTCTATCAACCCAAGCTGGGGGTTGGGATCAGGTCGGGTGGAGGGTGTATAATATATATAATATTATACAAGATAGTCACAAGAAGAGCAAAAGGAGAGCTTAGGAAAATATTTTTCACACAGAGAGTTGGGACGTGGAACCTCCTGCCAAGTAATGTAGAGGTAGAGTGCATTGTGGGTTTCAAATTGAAAATAAATAGAAAGTGGCTTGAAGGGGTGTGGGGTGGGGTGGGGGGTAGGGCAGTGGGATTGAATGGACAGCTTGTTTTGAGACCTGGGGCAAACTGGATGAGCCAAATGGCCTCCTCTGTGCCGGACATATCTAAGATTCCATGATTCCATTCCCTACTCTCCTTCCCATTTCAAAATGATTTTTCCCTCAAGTATTTTATCCCATTCTCTTTTTTTTGAACAAAAAAATTCTCTGTTTTAGAGGGAGCACCGAGAGGAGAGGCCTAACATCTTGTCAAAAGAAGCAGAGGGGCGGTGAGGAGAATGTTTTTCACACAGAGAGTTGTTCAGATCTGGAATGCACTGCTTGAAAGGGTGGTGGAAGCAGATTCGATAACAACTTTTCGATAATTCTCTTTTCAAACAGCTGGCACAGACACGATGGGTCGAATGGCCTCCTTCTGTGCTTTATAATTCTACGAACTTTCAAGAGAGGAATGGATAATAATAATAATAATAATCCTTGCATTTGATATAGCGCTTTTCACGTCGGGAGGACGTCCCAAAGCGCTTCACAGAACACACTGTAAAGTGAATTGACTGTATATTTGTGGGCGAACGTGGCAGCCAATTGCGCACAGCAATGTCCCACAAACAGTCGTAGATTGAAAATGACCAATTTTTTTTATTATTGTTTTTTGGTTTTTTTGGAGGGATTATTATTATCTTGTTGATACTCGTCAACAAGGTGATGTCTCACCACTAGTTACTTGGGGAGGATAAGTTTGCAGGGCTATGGGGAAAGCGCGGGGGAGTGGGATTAATTTGGATAGCTCTTTCAAAGAGTCGGCACAGACATGATGGGCCGAATGGCCTCCTTCTGTGCTGTATAATTCTATGATTCTATGATTCTAGGAGAGAGACAGCCCAGGTCAGTGCCATGTCTCTGAACTTGCAGTTTGAATGAAGTCCTGGCCTCTCTCAATGCGTTTATAAAATATAACAATTCACAAGCTGTTGAGTTGAATGCAACATTTCACCATTAACAAAGCTGCATACTGCTCCCTGGTGTTCTCTCAAGAGCAGTGGAAGAAAAACCCACCACCAAAGAGCAATGAGCCCACACTGACCACTCGTGACAACCTCCTCTGCAGGAGAAATTACATCTTTATATAGTAATCAATTTACCACCAGAAAATGCCACGCTAAAATCCATTACACCTTGCCCCGAGGAAAAACTGCCTTCAAGGTTACTGTAATACTGTATAAAAGATTAGGACCTCTCGAAACATTTTAATAAATTTTAAACACAGCAATATTTTAGAAAAGCAAATGCTACAAGTCCATGAATAAATTTATATTTTATATATATGTATATTTAAGTGTTGCGATTATACCATCGCTGATAAAACAAGACACAACTCATGCTTGTAACCCAGATCAGTCCAGTTTTTCCATTAATTTGGCATCAGCCTGGCTAGGAAGGTTGTGAGTTCAAACCCCCAATTGGGGACATTGAGCTAAGCTGACATTCCATAGGAATATAGGAACATAGGAGTAGGCCTTTCAGTCCTTCAAACCGGTTCCGACATTTTATCAGATCGTGGCTGATCTGTACTTCCAACTCCAATTTCCAAGGCAGAACTACATTGTTGGAAGTGCTGTCCTTTGGATTAGATGATGAGGTCAGGTCTGCCTTTTCAGGGAGGACGTTAAAGATCCCATGATGTAACTCAAAAAGAGAAGGTATTTTTTTTCTAGCGTCCTAGCCAACAATCTTTCAAATAATATTGGTCATTCACTTCACAAGCGTTGTTCATGGGAAGTTGCTGCACGCAAATTGGCTGCCCTATCCGCTAACAAAAATACAGTTTCTACACTTTACAGTGAATCCTGTGAAGCATTTTAGATGTCCTCCCACTGTGGAAGGATCTGTATAAAATGCAAGATTATATCTTAACAAGCACAGCAATTGGTAAAAGACCACACACTCTGAAGACAAACCAGTTAATTGCTGGTGTCAAGAAAGATAAGTGAAGTGGAAAAGGTTCAATGCCAGAATTTGTAGCACAGATACGGTGGCCCGAATTTCCCTTTCCTTTCATCTTTCCCTTCCTCCACTTTCCGAGCATAAACTTTCTGAATTTAATCCAAAGTTCAATTCATTTCTCATTAGAAAAGGAATTAAATTCATTGGGGCACATCGCAAAAATGATTGACGATTTGATCTTAAAAACAACAACAATTTGCATTTATATAGCACCACTCATGCGGAGTAGCATCACAGAGCATTTAGAAAGAAGCATGGTGTTTTGCAAACTTTTTGGGGGGAGTGGGGGCAGGTGGGGGTTTGGGGATGAAGTGAAGCAAAATGCAAGAAAGGAACAGAATCCAGCAGCTCAGTGGTTGGAACACTCGCCTTGCAAGTGAGAGACCTGGGTTTGATTCCCAGCAGTGCAAAACCTTGGACAAGTTTCCTTACTCCACACGCCTGATAATAATCCCTCAAGAAAAAAAATAGTAAATTGGTCACTTAAATCCATAACTGTTTGTGGGATGCTGCTGTGTGCAATTGGCTGCCGCATTTTGCCCACAAAACATACAGTCAATTCACTTTACAGTATATTCTGTGAAGCGCTTTGAAATGTCTAGAAGTTGTGAAAAGCGCTATATCAAATGCAAAGATTATTATTATTAACTGTTACAATTACTATAAAAAGCAAAGCCCAGTTATTCGAAGGTTGAGCTTCCCAAATGATCTGCCCCAGTGACCTTCCAGGTCACTGTTCCACATTCTCACAAACGCCAGCGTGAAGATATAGATTCCCATTTCACTTGTGCCCAGATCAGCTCTGAAAGATGGTTCATATACTTCAAAAGAACACCTCAAAAACAGGCCATTCAGTTCATCCAATCTGGCTGGTGTTTATACTCCACACGAGTTACTTTCCTTGATTCTATCTCTCGTCCCATATCCTGGATTTTCCCCATATCCCTTAACTTTATTCTCTTTTAGCCACGTGTCAGTCTTTGTTGGAGAATGTGCATATAATTGAGTCCCAACAACCAACTGTGGCAGAAAATCCACACTCTCACCATGCTCAGTGTGAAAATGTTTTACCTAATCTCTGGCTAACAATCCCCTGAATAAAACGAGTCACTCACTTCATGGCTGTTTGCAAGACCGGGTTCGCCTACAAATACACAGTCACCACAGTAAAGCCTGTGAAACACTTTGAGACATCTCAAAGCTGTCAACAACGACAACAACAACAACTTGCATTCATAGCGTCTCAGAGCGCTTAACAGGCACTAGATGAATTGCGAGGATTATTACCAATAATAATTATTATCTTACAATGCACTGATCCAGTTCACAACAAACGCACGAGGCTGATATTAAAGCTGACTCGGGCATTTGTCAGTGAAGTGATAGAAAATAGCATATCCTTTTCCATTTGTTTCCAGCCAGGATATTGCATTCGTTGAGATCTGCAAACATCAATTATATTCCTGTGCAGAGATTTGTAAAACTAAGCCAATAACAGAGATCAGATATCTGATGAATGCTTCAGCCAATGCCATCTGACAACCAATCAATTTCTGATGGCAGCAGCATCTGTGCTACACATTCCCTGACATTGGTCAGTGTAACTAACGGCAATCGAGTGTTCATACAATGTGCCGTTACTGGGAAGGAGGTGCAATCGCTCGTTCATTTCACGTCAGTTTGTGCACAAATCGGCTCCAGCACGCAAATCGGCTGCTGGTTCGTCTACAAGATACAGTCACTACACTTTACAGCACAATCCTCGCTTGAAAATCATACTGCTGTGCACAATTGGCTGATGCATTTCCAACAACAACAACAACAAATTACATTGGTATAGCGCTTTTTACGTTGGGAGGACGTCCCAAGGCGCTTGAAAACAAAGTGAAGGTGGTACAAAAGGTAGGATTTAAACCAGTCAAGGACATGACCATAAAGTTTGATGTGAGAGGAGAGGCAGTGGAGGAGGATAGAAAGGTTGACGGTGTCAAAGGCAGCAGAGAGGTCAAGGAGGACAAGGAGACAGAGGGAGCCCTGATCACAGATAGACTAAATATTATTTGTCACTGTTTCTGTATGGGCAGCACGGAAACCCAATTGAAGGGGTTCTGATGGGAGAGGAAGGAGCGAAGCTGGGAGTTTCACCCACAAA